AACAACAACAACAACAACAGCAACAACAACAGCAACAGCAACAACAACAACAGCAACAGCAGCAGCAGCATCATCATCATGGTGTACAATACCTAGTCTATTTTCTATTAAACAAAACAATCTCTCTACTCCCAACGAAAACCCAACAGCAGGCACATATCTACCACTAAACTTCTCTATAAGGTGGTCGTATCTCCCCCCACCAGCTATGCTGCTGCTGCTGCTGCCATCCTGCTGCAGCAGCACAGCCTCAAATATAATGCCTGTATAGTAATCTAAACCCCTAGCAAGAGATAGATCTATAAAACATAAATTATATATATTAAATGCATGCAAATATACCGTTAAGTTTATAAACTCCTCAATTGCTGCTGCTGCTTCTTGCTGCTGCATCAGTTCTTTATCTTTTTTTATTATATTTATTATTGTATTTATATCTCCTTTTATACAAACATATTTTTTTAATTTATTTATTATATTTATATTTATATTTTTTTCTTTTTCTAGCTCAGTAGCAACAACCTCCCATGGTTCTTTATCTAGTTTATCTATAGATGAACATACACTCTGTATTTGGGGTGTATGTACACCGCNTCCCATGGTTCTTTATCTAGTTTATCTATAGATGAACATACACTCTGTATTTGGGGTGTATGTACACCGCATGCATGCACAATAGCATAAAGAAGTTTTTTATGATTTATTTTTAATAGAAAGGGCCCAGTTAGCTGCTGCAGCTGCTGCAGCAACTGCAGCAGCAACTGTAGACACTCAGCATCTGCCAGCATTGGTGGGGTTGTAACACCCGCAATATCGTAATCACACTGTATAAACTCTCTATATCTTCCTTTATTTATTTGTGGTTCGTCTCTTCTATATACTTTTCCTATATGGTATCTTTTTATTTTATTTATTTTATATAAAGATACAAAACGACAAAAGGGGACTGTTAAATCATAACGGAGACAGAGTTGTTCTCCCCCTTGATCCTTAAGCTCATATATTAATTTATTTATTTCGGGTGTATAATCTATATTATTTATATTATTTATATTATTTATATTATTTATATTATTTATATTATTTTTTTTATTTATATTATTATATTTACTTTCTATGAGTGTTTCTCTTAACTCAAATATAGGGGTATCTATAGGCACAGCACCGTGCAACATAAAAACAAAACAAATAAAATTTATTATTTTTTCTCGTAATATTAAACTAACTCCATATCTATCTATTGTACCTTTTGCTAGTTTAGGGAGACGGCGTATGCTGTTTGTTGCTGCACATATATATAATAAACAATCCTCTAGCTTATGCCAACTCATAATACTACTCCTGCTGCTGCTGCTGCTGCTGCTGCTGCTGCTGCTGCTGGTGGCGGTGGCGGTGGTGTTGTCTTCGTTTGTGCTGCTGCTGCTGCTGCTGCTGGTGGTGGTGGTTGTGGTGGTGTCTTTGTTGCTGCTGTTGTCTTCGTTTTCGCTGCTGCTGCTGCTGCTGCTGCTGCTGATGTTGCTGATGCATGCAACAAGAGGTATACGAGGAAAGGTATAGGTAGCAGCAGCAACAGCAGCATTAGTAGATAGAGCTGCTGCTGCTGCTGCAGGTGCAGCAGCAGCAGCAGCAGCAGCAGCAACAGACCGCAGCAGCAGCATAAACTCTCTGACCCCTTTTGTTACTGGGTATCTTAATGTAGGTTCTTTCTTTCCTCTTTTTATTTTTGTTGCTGCCTCATATAAAATATTTTTATCTTTTGCTTCTATACACTGCAGCAGCAACGCTGCATGCAGCCCCAACACTTGCTGCAGCAGCATGCATGCATCCTCCAATCGAGATAAATATATAAACACAACCCCACTCCTGCTGCTGCTGCTGCTGTTGCTGCTGCTGCTGCTGCTGGTTGTAAGACAACGCATGTCTAGCTCAGCAGCATCCTGCTGCAGCTGCTGCGCTGCTGCTGCTGCTGCAGCAACTCCTGCTGCAGTTAGCCGTGTCTCGTCTGGGGTCCCCATATATTCTGCTTCAGCAGCAAGAGCTTCAGGCAGCACGAATTCTTCTTGCTGCTGCTGCTGCTGCTGCTGCTGCTGCTGCAGCTGCTGCAGCTGCTGCTGCGCCATGAGCAGGGTGTGCTGCAGCAGCCGCAGCTGCGACTGCAGCAACGCCCGAGCAGCAAGCTCTGCTGCTGCTGCTGCAGCAGCAAAAGGAGAAGCAGCAGAACCAAGAGGAAACTCAATACATTCTGCTGCTGCTGCTGCTGCATCAAGGACAGCTGCTGCTGCTGCTGCTGCTTCAGGTGATCCTTCAGCAGCAGCAGCAGCACTTTCAACTGCAGCAGCAGCAGCAGCAGCTGCATGCGGAGCAACAGCAGCAAGAGACTTTGGCCGCAGCAGCTGCTTCTTGCATGCATTCTCCACAATAGAAAGAAGAGTATTAACAGGTGTTAGTATACTTGCTGCTGCTGCTGCTGCATCAGCAAATGCTGCTAGTGCTGCAGCAC